GCTCAGATTTTCTGCTTGCTGTTCTGTTCTTGTTACCTGCTGTCTGTGAAATGCTTTGTTTCTGCCATGTGGCTGGCAGACAAAGGATCCTGGGTTGCAGCTCAACACATGGCTGCATACTGGCACAAAGATGAAACTTAAGTGGACTTTGTTAAAATGGACCGCCTTGGACTATTGACCCTTCTTCTTGTTGGTAAATATACCCTATTGTATAGTTAGGCAACAAACTTGCATAGCCTTTCTTATTTTTCTAATCTCCTATGGTCTGATTACAAGTTTCTGCTAATAAACTTTATTCTGTTTTAATACTGTGTCTGATGGATGTACCTTTGACTCCAAGCCTTAAATCCTGTGCTTGAACTGCTTTGCCAACTGTTGCTACCTTGCTAAGAATATTCTTGTGATAAGTCCCAAAAGCCAGTCAAGAGTCTGAGCCTCCTCTTGGACTGGAAGGGGATCATAGTGGAAGGTTCTGGTGGCACGTGTCTGTAAATCCATAGAGAGACTACCTCTCTTGGGTTTTTGTGTAAAATACTTTGTCTCAGTCCATGATCCTTTCCTTTCACAGTCCTGGATTGGTCTGGGGGAAAGACAGGATCATGACATGGTGGCTTTAGCGTGGGGATGTATGAACTGGAGTCAAATGTCATCATCTGGGTATTTTTGCCCTGTGTGCAGAGCTTGCTCAGGCTAGGGAGGAGTTTTCTTATTTTACTATAGTGGTAGATAGAGATTTTGCTGCTATGGCTGAGGGAGGTGATTCCTTCAGCATGGACAATGCATCTCTGCTCACTGTGGATGACGTGAGGGACCAGGATGAATTCTGGGATGCTGCTGACGCTGGAGAACCGGTTGTGCGTCCAAGGAGAGCCCCTCTATACCAGAGAGAGGTGGAGCACGGCAGAAGCGCAGACGACTGGCTGTTTGCTGGCTCTACAGACCCTCATGGTGCACAGAAGGAAGATTGGAGTCTGCCTCGACGCCCTTCTCATCTCCGCGCTTGGGACCAGCCCGCAGCCTGGCAGGCAGCTAGCCACAACCCCGGGGTTGAAGGCTTTTCCAGAGGTCGGAAGGAGCTGTTCACAGATAAGCCTCGACAGCCTGCTGATGATTCCAGCAAGAGAGGTGGTGAGCATAATCCTAATGCCTCCCCCAACTTTGTTGCCCCCTGGGATGTGGATAGAAGGATGTTTCCTTACTTCAAACAGGGGCAGGACGTGCTCGGATATCTTACCCTTTATGAGCAGACCTGCAGAGACATTGGGTTACACCCCAAACACTATATGCTGGTGTTAAGATCTCAATTGTCTGGTGGACTGGCTGATCTGTTAGGGACCCTTAGTGGCCCTGATGCTTCTGACTTCCAGAAATTTAAACAGCTAGCCTTGAAGAGGTTTGGCTTATCTGCTGAATCCTACAGGAGGTCTTTTCGCAAGGTTGAGCGACATTCTACTCCTGATAACTATCCGCTGACTGCGGCTAGCCTAACGCAGAATTTGGATCGCTGGCTGAGTGCTGAGGGGGTGCGTGACTTTGCCTCCCTAAGAGAACTGTTCCTGAAGGAGCAATTCTTCCGCTTGCTGACGGATGAACTGGCAGCCCTTGTGCGGGACCGGAGACCCAAAACGCTTGAGGATGCCGCTGAACTCGCACAAAGCATGCGAGAGCACAGAGAGAGAGGTTATGGAAGGCCTGCTCGCCCTGCTGCTGGGAATCCTCTGTCTCCCTCCAAGTCCAAGACACCCTCGTCTAAGCTGCCCACCTCTGCTGAGAAGTGGAAGACCCCTCCTACGTCGCCGGTCAAGAAGCTTGTGGATCCCAAGTCTGGTTTGTGTTTCGAGTGTAGAAGTAACTCACACAAAAGGTCGGCATGTCCTCTTTGGCTGGCGAAGAAAGGGACTCCACCCACTGCAATCAAGCCCCAAGTTCGTGTTATTCAACAGCTGGAACCTACAGTCCCTGCACCTCTGACTCCTGTGAACCCACCGGCTGAGACACCAGAGACCGTGACTGGCCCTCAAGCCTCAATCTCTTCGGTGAGTTTTGCATCTCTCCTCGACCAAGGACAGCTGGAATGGGTGCGCAAGACGTACACCCATGAGATTACCATTAATGGCGTGACTGTGAGTGGACTGTATGATACTGGTGCTGAAATAACTTCTGTGCATGAATCCTTGGTTCATATTGATCAGTTTTTGTCTAAAGAAGTTTTGGTGACTCCTTACGAGTCAAAGGCCGTGTCTAGAAGGCTTGCTGAAATTGATGTGTGTTACCAGCATTACCAAGGTAAAACTATTGTTCTAGTACATAATCTGTGCGCAAACCAAGTCTTGATTGGCTCTGATCTTGCTTATCAGTCTGCTTTGGCTGCAACAGAGCCCGCTGTGGAGGAAGGGGGGGGAAATCACCACCTGGCCGCTGTCCAGAGTGCTGAAACCCCCAGTCTCCTTGCCCCTATTCCCATTCTGTCAGCTATCGCTGAACTGACAGGCCCTGCGGTTGACCCAGACAGTGAGACAGAGGGAAATGATTTTTTGGGAGCTGTCTCTGAGTTCCAAGGTGATGAGAAGTTTAGGGAAGCCCAACTAACTGATCCTACCCTTGAGGACTGCTGGCAAAGTGTCCATAATGACCCCAGGGCGACCGCTGATCGCAGGGTGAAGTTTATTGTTAAACAGGGCCTTTTGTATCGTCGGTGCCAAACTAAGGCACATGGGGAAATTGAGCAGCTTGTTGTCCCACAGCAATACCGAGAAATGGTGTTGAAATTGGCACACGAAAACGTGTTCGCTGGCCATTTTGGGAGGAGAAAGACCTTAGAGAAACTCTCAAGGTCCTTCTACTGGCGTGATGTGTATGATTCTGTCAAAGGGTTTGTACAATCCTGTGCGAGTTGCCAATTCGAAGGGTATGACAGAGACAACCCCAGGGCCCCTCTGCAAACCCCAGCTCTCCCTGAGGAAGTTTTTGCTAAGTGGGGTGTGGATGTATTAGGTCCCTTACCTTACCCTGGGAAAACTGGAAAGAAATATCTGCTCACGATTATAGATCATTTGTCCCATTTTTTATCGGTCATACCCTTAACAAACATCGGGGCTAAGACTATTGCAAATGCTTTGCTGGTGCAGTCTACCCACTGGGGCCTGCCCAAGACCCTGGTTACTGATTTTGGGTCCTCTCTTGTCAGTGGTCTTATGCAGAAGGTCTGTGAGATTGCCCAGATAGACCACCAGTTGTCCATCCCATACTGTCATTGGGAAAATGGCCGGACTGAAAGGATGAACAAAACTATTGGTCAGATGCTCCGCAAGTACGCATCTGACTATCATAAAGACTGGGAGCAACATCTTTGTTACTTAGTGGCTGCCTGCATCTCTAAGGAGGTGTTGGAGCTGGGCATGGTGGTTATTGTTAGTTAATATAGGAGTCCTTCCCTTATTCCTAGTGAGGCGTGGGGGCCGGATCCTATACAGGGCGGTTGCTTGACATCTCTCGCAAAGCAAGGCAAGCAACAAAACCAGGAGATTTATTGAGCCCTTGGAAGGCCAGGATCCTGGCTGCTGGGCCACAGTCTGTTTGGTGGCCCACAAGTTGTGCTGGCTTGCTTTAGTCCAACAGCTGCTCCCCTTGGTCTTTTGGCTCTTGTCCTCTTCCATCCCTTTCCTGTGACTGTTAATACATGTGATTAATGTTGCTAATGGAGCTGGGCTGAAATGGAGGTTCCTTCTGTGAAAAATGTCATCCCCTGTGAAATGATTCCTCCCTCCCTTTCAGCTATTGGGGGGGCGGGGTCTCACAATAGGATGAAATGCTTTCGCACATCTGGAAGTCCTGCCCCTAATCCCAGATGTGTTGGAACAAGCTATAGTTAGTGGGTTAGATCCAGGCTAAATTTTCTATCAGTGGAGTGGAACTTTCCTGCCTCCCTTCTCCCACTGATCTCTACCAGGTGCTGCTTCTGTGGGACAGGAGACTCAGAGGAATGACACGGGGGTGGGCTACAGCATGAAGGAAGGAGGAATTGATATGGACAAGAAGTGTTAAGGGTACTAGGTGGGACTGAGCCAAAAGGAGGGGTGTGTTCTGTGATGTTTTGCAACTGGCAAAAAGTGATTTTGTTCTGTCAATTTTTCAGAGAGTGCTCCAAAAGGGGACAAAACTGTTCATCCATTTCGAGTGATGGAAATCAGTAAACCCATTGGCTTGGGTCACCCATTCGGCCAGTATAGAAAATACTTCTCTCGGCATTGACTTTGTTTTCCATCAGCGATGACAGCACATTTGATTGGCTACATAATGCTGTGATGTAATCATGTTCACTCTGTGATCCCTGATTGGCTGGGTTTGCTCAAGGACGAAGAACATTGCCCCAACATATACCCCTGGCAAATGGTACCATAGCAGAGGAAGAGAAGGGAAATGAACAACAATGTACAGGTATTGGGGGGGGGAAGAGGAATGACCAATGAAGAGTTTTCAGCAAATATTTTTGGCCCCTTGAAAGCCGTATTTTTAAAAACTGAAATGGATAAACATTTCATACAGCCCTTTGTATTGGGTATGAAGGTATTTACTTTTGTGTAGGAAGTTGAACATAATAAGTTCTTTAAAGGCTGATAAGTCTGTCATTCCATGGTGTATTGAAGTATGGGAATAACTCTTGTCCTGCTTGCAGGAACATGCGCATGCAGCCATGGAAGTCAATGCGCAAGAGGTGATTTGCACTACTGCCGATAAGCATGGTGCTTGCATCAGTATATAGCTGAAACTAATCCACAGGAAGGAGCTGTCTGTTTCAGTCACTAGCCAACAAATCATGACCACTATATTGCCTGGCTTTAAAGCTTCCGTCTGTCTCTGTTGTGAAGATGTTTGTGCTTACCCCAGATAAGCAAACTGCTTCATAAACAGACAGCGAGAATCCTTCAGACCAGCCTCAACTTAATGGAGAATGATCCCAAGGGGTTAATCTCTCAGACACACTTGTTGACTTCTCTCACCATAAGATGCTGAAAGAGCCAGGAGCGCATGATATTCGTGGCATGCTTTGGCAGGACTCCCCGTTTGTTCTTTGACTTTTTATCTTCACTGTCAAGAAGAGAGGTCAGGTCCAGGTTAACCTACAGGGCAGGCAAAGAGAAAGAAAAGCTTAAACAATGCAGGTGTGGGGGGGAATGGATACCAGAGGTTGGGTTGCCATGGTGACACAGTTCACAATGTCGGCCTGATTTCATGGTGGTTCCATGAGGCTACACAGTGTTGTGCTATTCAGAGCAGCAAGGCCAGAACTATCTTAGGAGGGACCATAACGTGCCCTTAACTAAAACAAAACAAAAATCAGACTCTCTTGTGTGTTTGAGGGTCAAACTGGACAAAATAGGGGAAGATCCATGAACAGATTTTGGGGTGAGGTGCACAATTTAAACCAGGGGAACTGAACTCTGTGCTGCTTTTCCAACGACAAATATTGACCCATTGGGGAAAACGTGTAGGTAGCCCTATGAAGCTGAGAAACACCAGCTTCAGGGAGCCCTTTGAAGTTGGGGAAAGAGAGAATGAACCCCAAGACAAAGAAAATAGTGATATTTCTTCCTACATTTTATCCACAGAGTATGGATCAGCTGAGACCAAAGTTCATCACAGTTGGGCATCATACTCCAGTCAAGTTCATGCTGGACATGGATGAGGGAAAGTGACAGGCAGCTGTTAGGCTTAGTTTGAGTCAAGCTCAACAAGGATCAGTTCTAACACTTGAGTTCAGCACTAAGAATCAGCCCTAAAACATATGAGCTAATTATATTAAAAAAGATATCATTCTGTGATGTGTGAGAGCTAGTATGGTCTATGGCATACAAGTGTTTGACTAGATCTGGGGAGACATAGGTAACACGTCCAATCAACTAGGAAGCTCACTGAACATTTTGGAGGCCGGTTGCTATGTCTCGCCTACCTCACAGGGTTGTTGTGAGGATTAAAGTGGGGGACCGTGTGCACAACCCTGAACTCTACGAAGGAAAGATAGGATAAAATTGTAATAGACAACAAAACCAATGCAGACAAGTATTTCAACAGCACTTAACTTCCAACTAAATAACTTTTTTAAAAAATAAGAGCTTTAGTCATCTCCTTGAATGTTTTAAAAAAATACCCTTTGGTCTATTAATCAGTTTTTAAAATGTGTAATTCTCAGTAGGATTATTCTCAGGACAGCAGAGAAACATCTTTTTTTTTTTTTAAAAAAAACAGCTGATAAAAAGAAAATGCAAAGATCTAGGGAAGCAGAAAAGAGAGAAGTTTTAATGAGGTTGCAGGAAACTGGAATCGGAACGTCAAGTTAAAAAACACGCACACACCTTTCCTTTCTTTTTTTTAAGGTTCTTCATAAAAACATTTCTTCTGCATGAATTAAACATCAGGATGGCAGCCCTGTGTCAGGTATAAATGATTCCCCCAGGTGCCGCTTGGGATGTATTGCAAGGCCTAGGCTGAATAAATTACCCAGGCAATACAGAAATAACATTAAGAGTGCTTGTCCAGGGCTCCGTCTGTGGCACAATATTCCCAGCATACTTGTATTCCAACAGATCTGATCAATTTCCTCTAAGATCTGAGCTAGCAACAACTTTTACACATTAAAAAGAGCTGAGATTCAGGTTTTGTTTTTCTCCTCATCTCCACGCAGAGAGCTGAGACAAAAGACGAGAAAGTGGGGATCCGGCAGCCCCGTTGAAGCCTCCCCCCCCCAAGAGTTTTATTCAGCTTTGTAAAATATGAAATAATAAACGCTCTACTGTGGGGACAGGGCCAGAGAGATTTTAAAAGAGCTCAGAGACTGATCTGCTGCAATTGTGGTCCCGCCAGTGCTGACTCAGTAGGAAATGTCAGTATATCAATGCACGCAGTTTTTCTTTTTCTTTTTTCTAAAAACTTAGTTTGGGTAGTAAGAACTATATGATTTGCCTCTCATGAATATAAAACAGAGGAAAGAAAAACTGGGACTGATCTCAAGAAATAGGTTAGAATTTCCACATGTAAAATTCAGGTGGGGACACTAAGAGGGATATACGGTTATCTACAACTATTAAGATTATAAGTACTAGGGATGTACAGGAACCGGCTGATGAACTAAAGTTCGTCATGAAGTTTGGTCTGTTCGTGGTTCACAAAGCGATGTTCACAAACTGAAGAACTGCCATGAATTTTGATGCAGTTTGTGGTGGTCCGTGATGAGCAGAAAGCAGATGTTTGGTTTAAATGGCTTGGTGCCATTTAAACCGCTGCTTTCTGCTCTGCTGCCGTGCTCATTTGCTTCTGCCACTACAGGAGGTGGAGAGCCAGCCGGCTGGCACAATTAATACTCAGCAAGTATGCACTCTCTGCTACAGTAGTGGTTGGATGAGACCTGCCTCTACTGTAGCACAGAGCACATACTTGCCAAGTATTAACTGCACTGGCTGGCTAGCTCTCCTTCTCTTGTAGTGGTCAAGGCAAACGAGTGTGGCCGGCAGGTAAGGAAAGACCCTTCTCTTCTTCACCTGCCTGCTGATGGGATATCTCTCTCTCCAAACCCCCCCCCCCGAATTCCCAGCGACCCACCACCCATAATTTTCTGGCTATGCCGCTGGCAAGGAGCAGGAAGAATGGGCGGGGATAGCTGAAGTTCCAAAGGGGCATGTTAACTCTTTTTGACATAGCACTGTCATAATTGGTATCAGTTTCCTTTGAGCCCAGACAAACAGATTTCTCAGAAGGTTTCTAATTAACTTCTATTGTTTCAAGATTTATTAAGCACGAGCCTCTTTAGGCTAGGAGTTTTTAGAAGCATTTGCACATCGGTCATTAGGACTTGCTTGCTATCTTGCAATTCATTTATTTCCTCTTGGTGAGAAGTCACAAATCGAAGCAGAGATCTGTTCATTGTTATTCGATGCAAATTCTTCTGAGTCAACTAAAATGCCTTTCAAATAATATGTAAGAAAGATTTTTTGGTCTTCTGTATATGCTTAAATAACTTGATTCAGCCCAGCTGAAACTGCCATGCAATCCTTTTGAGCACCGTGGCCAAGGGAGTCCTGCTGTTCCCCAAGCCACCATTTTTGCTCTCCATTTCTTGACCCCAGCAGGTCGAAGGAACAAGCTAGCTCCTCCATGCTGCTATAGGCTGGCTTTTATTGATTGCAGAATCCCACCCCAAGCCCAGAGTACTTCAGAGGTGTATAAGAAGAATCAGAATTCTGATAACTAAACTCCCAAAGCAGCATGTCATAATCAGTGTTGATTCATGATGAGCCCACCTTCGTTAGTGTGTGGGACACACATAAACTAACTCACCTCATCCCTTTATTGCAATACTTCAATTTAATTAATGCGAAAGGAAGTTTTGTTAAGAATGAGAGGGGAAAGACATCATTATGCATCTAGAGCATCGCTAAGGATACAAAATCACTTCTGGCACACACTTTATTTCCTGCTTTTTCAAAAAAAAAAGAAGAAATTCTTGCCCAAAGCAGTTTATAGTACACGATCAAAACCAAGTCACAATGTTAAAAAAAAGAATCTATACCACAATACAAAATCAAACAGTATAGCAGAGGGAAGATAAAAACAAATGGGAGTAGAAACAGTTTACTAAGAAGAGTTCCAAAGCCAGAAGTGAGCAGAGAGGTCTTAAGGTTTATTCCAATTATCCTCAGGCCCATACTCACGGGGGTGCCTATAAGCACCCGGCACCTTCCCCAAACAGCCGTGCCTCCCCCTTCCCCCTCTCTGTGAAGCGCCCACCTGGCTTGCTGGGGGAGGGGAACCACATCTCAGCCCGCGCTTGGCTTGCTGCCAGTGCGATTGTAACGCCTGAGCTGCTTCGGGAGGTGCAAGACGAAGCTCCTGTCTTTGCTCTCCTCTCAGATTGCCTGCAAAGGCAGCAGGGGGTGCAGGAAGGGGGTACAAGGAGACTAGCCCATTGGCACCAGGGGTTAAGGGGTTGCTCAGGGGGTTATTGTCCTGTTGCTGCTGCTAGCTAGCCAAGGGAGCCAGGTTGAGTCTGTAAAACCTTAAGGGGCTCTCCCAGATCCTTCAGAAAGGCTTGCCAGACATCTTGGATCTTCTGGGGGTACGCTTTGATTCTGGAACAATGCATAGCGCTTCAGAGAGAATACAACTCCCAGACACAAATCCTGACTTTTCTTTATTATTTCTGAACTGCCCCAGGTGCTGCTCCTGCCCCTCTTTTTTACCTGTCAATTCTTACCTACCCATGTCTCTCCTCCTCTATATTTCCCTAACAATAACAACCCTGTGATGTAGTCAGCTCCACTGTACTAAACTGCCCCCTTGGACCCCTTCTAACAAAATTTCCCGGGTACAGGGCTGACTATCCTCAACGTGGCACTCATGGATGCCACGATGCCTGCTGATGTGGTGCTGACTTGCTTCTTGAGTTTGGGGGATAAAATTCCCAAGGTATTGAATGAAACAGGGAAAAAACCTCAATGATCTCTTGAGTTACTCTCTGTCAGGTGACTGACTTGCAAAACAGATGAGATGGTCCCCGGCCCAAAGGTGCTTCTCCTCAGAGATTATTTTGCAATAAAAATCTCTGCTGATGATGTTCACCACTTTCTCACTCTGCACTAGAGAAGATTCAGATGCGCGAAACCTGACACTCCCAAGACTTCCTTTCCCTCAAAACCTTCAAAAGAAATGAGAGCCTTCGTCATCTTTTCCCAGCTTCTTGCGGTCTTGGCCTTACCTGCGTGTTCTGGATCTGTATAGCCCCCTGTGGGATTGCTTGGGTTACCACCTGGCCCTGAGACGTTACCATAGTTACAGGCTGGTAAAGGGCTCCACCTGGCAAAGAGATACGATTCACAGCAGAGATTTAGGGAATCAGCAAACATCTACTGGCAGGGGGGCAGGGAATGTTGAAATTGGCCTCATTTATTTGAACTGTGGAGGGAAGCCAATGCCAAAAGGACTCTACATCACCACCTTTAAGCTGAAACAGTCTTACGAATGAGACTGGACAGAAAACATTTGTTTCTGTAATTAACAGCAGGAGGCTCATGTAAAGGAAACAGTATCCCTCCCTCCCAAAGTCTAAAGAACTGTCTGACAGAAGCCTCTTGTGAGAAGGTACTCTCTGAGTGAAGACAAAAAGGATAAAGACAGACACAATATTTAAGGGTGAAGGCAGGTGTAAAGTGAGGTCCTCGGGTCACTTTCTTGACAGAGAAAGTAACAATTCATTACCATCCAAGTGCTTTATGCTTTTCATAGGTTCACTCTACTCATTTCCCCACTATGGCATCCTTATAATGTTAAGCTTCCATGAAGGCATGATATTAAGACACTTACTGATGTTCTAACTAAATGACCGAGAGTTACCACAGCAGAGCATGTTAACGTGTATTTCACCTTAAAAACAGTGGTTTTGAAAGGCGGCGGGGGGGGGGGATACAAAAACTCAACAGAACATATGCACTGTGGTTAGGCTTGCCAAATCCCCCCGGAGAGCGGAAAAACCCCCACCTGAGAGGCCCGTTACCCGCCGCCGGTGGATCAGACCCCGGGGGGAACCCCACCCCCAAAGCACGCGATATGCCCGGCGTCAGCACGTCACCTGGAAGTGACGCAGTCGCGTCAGCCGCGTTGGGGGCGGGGCCGTGGTCATCTGAGGGAAAACTCTATGGTTTTCCCTCGGATGATTGTGGCCCTGCCCCCGGCGTGCCCGACGTGGTTGCATCACTTTCGGGTGATGTAATTGTGGCGCGCACATGCTTCGTGCGCGCGCACGGACTCCCGGAGCAGCGCTGGAGTCTCCCGCTCTACATACAGTAAGGACTTGGCAAACCTAACTGTGGTATACAGATGGAGTGTGCGGCCTCTGAAGGAGGTCTGGGCACCTCCAAAGACCTGCCCACCAGTCCTAGTGATCAAGAGAACTTGCTGAAGGGTCTTCCTGGGTTTATGATTTTAGTCACTCCCACCCTTCCTAAAGGGAGCAGCTGGAGATTTTACCCTAAAGCAACACTGGATGGTTTCCGTTTGTTTATAGGCTTGGGGAATGTGGAGGACTTCAGGTTGCTTCCACAATCCTGGCTGCCACCCGCCAAACATAATATTTACTGTGAGCTGTTGGAGCACCTATGTAGGAATAAGCTCTGTGTACTCCCCCTTACTTGCTAAGAAAGAAAGAAGGGAATAACCAGAATCCTCAGCCTTTAGCGTTGCTGGTGGGGAAACAGCAGGCTAGGGGAACCCTGGCTTCATTTAGTTGTACTTCCTCACAGCCTAATCTACCTCACAGGGTTATTGTGAGGATGAAATGGAGGAGGGGGAGAATGATGTAAGCTGCTTTGGGTCCCCATTGGGGAGGAAGGCAGGGTATAAATGAATTAAATTAAATTTGAAAGACAGTGTTTGTAGTGGTTAGAATGTCAGACTAGGACTTGGGAGACCCAGGTGCAAATCCCCATTCTGCCTTGGAAGCTTGCTGTGTGGCTTGGGCCCCTCACTCTTTCTCAGCCTAATCTACCACACAAGGTCATTTGTGAGGGTAAAATGGAGGAAGGGGAATGAGGTAAGCTGCTTTGGGTCCCCACGGGGCAGAAAGGTGGGGTATAAATGAAGTGAATAAATCAAAGCTAACATAATTTCTGCCCATCAAACCCAAGATTTTAAGATGGTGTCAGAGTGTACCCTCAGATGGAGGACTTTTGTCCCTTCCCTGGAAGCGACATCCTGGAATGAGAGGAGTGATAACTGGTGGGGACCCATATGCCCCTATTTACCAGGGAGAGTATGTATTTCCTGGCATCTGTCCCTGGTAAATCACAGTCCACATTTCTGCCTTTTGGAGCTGCCTTGTTAACACGTTGTTAGTTTAAGCTGCTAGAGCTGGCATTCGTCAGGGTCCAGCTCCCTCTCCCCAGGGTCTCTGAGAAGTTATATTTCTGAGCAGGCAAGTAGGGCCTCTTGTCTCTAACGTACATGCATTGAAATGCATGCACGTGAGCACGCAGACACCATGCTGTGTTTCAGGCTGCCATTTCACACAGCGCAGCTGCTGAGGTATCTACTGAAACACAATTCCACATTGTCAGACATTTATATCTCTCCCCCCCCTTAATATATTTTAACTAAAACCACAAACATCTTGACTTTCAAATCAATGGCAGATAGGATATTGCAGAGTAAATGAATATGGTATACAACAGGGTACAGGGGGATGGAGGAGGGGTGAGGACCAGACATTGTGAAGCATTTCCCTTATTATCATCCATGAAATGTCAGAGGGAATGCGTGAGTTGGGTATTTGTGTGCAAGAACGTGTTGTCCGGCTGGAGTGAGAGCAATGGGGTGTATGTCCAATGGAGAAAGAGTGCAGAGAAACATCTTACCAAAGCAAACAGACCCCTAAACAAACCCATCAACCAGTTTTTCATAGATTTCCCGCTGGATTATACATAGTTCAAGATCTAGTTATCTAAGGGAGTTAAAAATACCAAGCATGCAAAAGATGCGACTAACATGGTCACTGACGTATGCTCCACGCCTCCCACCTGACACAACTTGTGAGTTGACCGTCGTCATGGAGATGTTCCCCTGCTGCAGTGCTGATGCAGGTACCACAATTCCTTGGGGGTTGCCAGATACTGCAGTCATTGAGTTGGGAGAATTCTGCAGCATATCCTAGAGAAAGAAGAGAGATTGGGGGGAAAAGAACTGAGCATGTTGTCCATCTGAAGTCTTCAGACTAAAGCTCGAAATAAAAGAACCCAGTCCAGGGTTATCCTTAGCAGCACCCTACATTTTATTCCTGAATGCTTTCTCGGATCTCTGTATATGAAAATGAGGAAAATGCCTATTCCACAAACCAGTACATAAGTTTATGCATATTGTTTCTTACATCCCTTATCTTCTCCTGAAGATCAATTCTATGACTTGGATCCTGTCAAAAATCTTCACTGATGAAAGTATTTCCATCAGTGGATTATAACTCCTGTGTTCCATCCCTCCTGCTGTAGCTCAAAATGCCTCCAAAATGCTGCTTCTGGGGGACAGGGTACCCACAGGAACAGCGTGACCCCCCCCATGGAAGTCTGCTGTGCAAAGAGAGGGGGAAATTGTGAAAATCACCCCCTCTTGCATGCATGAAAATGATCATTGTACTTGGAGGTAAGCATTAAACTATGCATATATTTACTTATGTTATTTATAGTCCACCTTTCTCACTTGGACTCAAGGTGGACTACACAGAGTGAGTCTATACAGTCAACAGGATGGGACATTTAATAAACAATAAAATAGGATTTGTGTTGTAGAACCAACCAGAAATATAAAACAGAATTTAAGCAAAGCATAAGTGTTTACATGACTAAATGATGCAAAAATTACATAGTAAGGTCCAAATTTCAGCACATCAAACACAGCTGTATAGACCACAATCCCTTATGATTTATCCAAGTAACTTTGTTACAATCAATGTTCCCTCTAAGCTGTGGAGTCTTGTGAGCAAAAATTCTGCTTTGTGAGCTTCCAGCATTAAAGTTGTGAGTGAGCGATTTGGCTACTGCATAAATTAGTTTACTCTGGAGCCATCCTTCCTGAGCTAGGACAGAAATGTGTGAGCCGGAGGCTAAAAACTTGTGAGCTAGCTCACACTAACTCAGCTTAGAGGGAACACTGGTTACAATGCCCAGTTCTGGAATGATGCTCTAACCACTACATAGACTCTCTCTGGAAGGGCAATGTGGGAAGGCTACTGGTTCTGAAAAAATACTGCTCATACTACTGCTACAATAAGCAAGATACATCACTGTTATAGTTCTCACCCTATTATAACTTGCAGGAGTCTTGGGGGGAACATGGGGGTGGTGCTGTTGGCACAACAGCATTATAATGATGGCAATGTTTAACTTCATTTTTCTCTTGCCAGTCACTGGAGTGGCAGCAAGCAACAGGACCTGGGGAGATCTCCCACCCCCTGTGACAACCCTACCTTATTACTATTGGGAGAGCTGGTATGTTAGTCCAGAATCCTTGCTACACATTTTTGCAGAGTGCTCTAAATGCTCAGAATGCAGCAGAGGTCCTTTGTTCAGCGTATGCTTGTAAGACTATAAAGTTACACAGAGCTACTTGTCAGTTTAAAATAAAATAAGAACTTTATTTAGGAAATACATTCTAGATAGTATAGCTTGAGATAGGGTCAGTTCCTATTCTAACTAGCAAGGGATGGATGCAGAGAGGCATTCTGCATCCATGGTGCCAAAGATGGAGAAACGTGTCCTCCTTCTTTGTTTGTGTACAAGAGAGAGAGAGGAAGAAAATGGAAGGACATTGTTTTCCCTCAGAGTAGCAATCTGCTCATCAAAGGGTTCAGTGACAAAAGAGTAAACAGGAAGATGCTTAGCGTTTGCCTGTCTATCTGTAACTCTCTGGTCACTTGTGTCTTGGAGGCTGAGGCTCTTCCAACAATTACAACTATACCACCACCACCACTGTTTTGCATGTATGAGGGAAAGGGCTGCAGCTCTGTGGTACAGTATGTGCTTTGCATGCACAAAGTCCCTGGCTCAGTCCCCAGCATCGCCAGTTTTAAAAACTATGAACTCACGAAGGAAAGCTGGAGAAGACCTTGGAGAGCTGCAGTTGGTCAGAGAAGACAACACTAATCTAGGTGAACCACCAGTCTGGCTTGGTATAAGGCAAACTAATCTGAGACTGCAGGTTGGATCCCCAGCACCTCCAGTTACACAATGCAATTTCTGCTCCAAAGAAGTCAAAACCAACAAATCCCTCAAATGGCAAGGATGGGGTGTAAGACCTAGAAGACCCACTGATGGATTATCAGTACCAGACTGGATGAACCCTGTTATGTATTGGGACTGAAACATTGCAGGAATGTGCGGCCAGAGTCAGGGTGAGCTTGGAGCCAAATAACAATAGATCAACAGGATCCTGGCAGTAACCAATTAAGATTTAAAGCTTTGTAAATAGCCTATCGTTGGGAGTGGGGTGTATTGGGGTGTGGCCACTGCATACAGTATAACCGGGCTGAGGCTCTGGTCTACAATCTTGTTCTTGCTGAAATCACTAAATAAAGTAGAGCTGATCACTAAACTGGGAGTCTGTTCATCCATGGAACCCACTATTTAACAGTGGCGATGAGGATGGGATCCTGTTGAGCCAGCCCAGCACCCTCCAGCACCGCACCGCGCACCGAGCCAAGCGCATCGCATGGCTACCGGGACCATGGCTGCCACTCCAGGACATCTGCCAGAATTTGACCCTGCTCACCCAGAGCTTTGGGAAGCCTGGGTGGAGCGGCTCAAGTACTACATAGTGTTCCAGGGCATCCAGGAGGCAGCCAAGAAGAAGGCTCTCCTGCTCAGTGCCTGTGGGATCACAAGACTGAGACTAGTCCAGGGCCTCATCGCGCCAATCACCTTGGAAGCGGCCACATACGACAACCTCATCAAAGTGCTCACCAACCATTTTGTGCCTCAACCAGAGGTCATTTCGGGGGGGAACGCAGTTCCCCTGGGTGAGGTGCAGGGGGGTGGGGCACATGACGAAGCCCCGCCCCCTGCTTCCGGCCACCCCGCTTCCGACCCTCATTCAGCCAGGAGGAGGCAGGAGAAGACGGAGGGTAAGTTCCTTCCTCCCCGCCTTTCCCCACCCCTGCCTGCCTGGGGTCAGGGAGGGCCTTGGCGGGGCTTCCTCGCACTCCCGCTGGCCTTGCAGGTCCACCGCCGGGCCCCTGATGTCAGGGGGTGTGGCATATGTTAATGAGTTATGCTAATGAGTTCCCCTAGCTCTTTTTCTACGAAATGACCCCTGGCCTCAACCCACGAAGATGGCACACCATGTGGACTTCTACATGCGCCAACAAAAGTCCAACGAGATGGCCGCCGACTTCGTGGCAGACCTTCGCCATCTGGCCCTCAATTGTGAATTCACAAATCTCGACGAAGCCCTCCTAGACCAGTTCGTGATGGGCACCAGAACTCCACAACCTCTGCTAATTTTTCCCTAGATTCCTGAAAGAGCTTTGCATATCATTAGGCACCCCATTAAAATCAAGGAGATTTAAGCGGTGTGCATGCAAGCTAGCAGTCAAGTGTCGTCCTCTGAGGACAGATTGTTCCTTTAACTAGTTTGTGGAAACTAAATCAGTGGAATGAATGAATGTGAATAGGACTGGCATGCCTTTCACAATGCAGCCGTGTTTGCCTGCTCAAGGTCCTCCATACACTTTTAAAAGCCCAGTTAAAGGATGCTAACAGAGAATAATTACAAATCCAGATGTGCATAAATGCAGGTGATATATTTACTGCTCGGGGTGGGGCAGGGACAAGAAAAGGAATCCAGCAGTAGAACAAATGTGAAGGCTCAGGGGGAAAAAAACCCAGGAAAAATATGAAGCAAAACCACTCTCCACACAGAGGACTTTTTTCAGTTTTTCTGATGGAAAAACAGAAAATCTGGGTAGCAGTGAAAAACTCCTGTGGATTTTGTTTTCCTTTGGAATAAGTGAAATGTTTTTAAAGACAAGACATTACTCAAAATATGTAGCATGAAAATGTTTACATAAGACATTAGATAAAGACTTATGGATACTATAGAAAAACACAACATATTTTCAATAACTTTTTTGTTTAAATGGAAATTACTTTTACATTCATTTCTGTTAGTATGTGTTTAATGATTATTATTAAACATTATTAAAGAGTTCAAAGTTTTCAGTTTTATGAAGTTTAGGGTTGCCAAATAATTTTCACTCACCGGCGGGTGACATCAGACGCTACCGACGTTGGGGGCATGGCCGAGCTCGTTGGAGGGGAACATATGGTTTTCCCCCCCGACGAGCTTGACCACGCCCCCAACGTCGGCAACGTGGCTGCGTCACCTCTGGTGCCGCAGCTTCGGGGGCGAGGTTCCCCCCGAGCCCCGATTCCGGCGGGGCGGGAATCGGGGGCTCCGAAGCGGGGGGTTACCCGCCCCCCGGGCACATTTGGCAAGCCTAATGAAGTTTAATTTGATATCCAAATTTGCTGGCAGTCCCATCTATTGTATGAAAATGTTGATGCCCAACCCCTGACCTGGATAACCCGGGCATCAGATCGCAGAAGCTAAGCAGGGCCGACCCTGGCAAGTACTTGGATGGGAGATTTCCAAGGAATACCAGGGCCAGGGCGCAGAGGCAGGCAGCAAGCAGCACCTCTCTGGACGTCCTTGCTTCCCAGCCCCACTAGAGGATGCCAGAAGTCAGCCATGACCTCCAGGCACGTGCACACGCGCACACACACAAATACTAACAAAAAAGAAAATAGTGATGCCCAAATAACATACATTCTTTTTTGTAAACTACAGAATTTGTTTCCTACCTTCAGCTTTCTTTTCTGCCTCTCAGATAGCAAAAAACAAGACATATATCCTCTCTTTCGAATTTGTGTATACTTTCAATTTTTCTTATAGAAAACCAAAATGTTTATACTTTTCAATTGCATAAATATGCCAAATAGTACCATTTTATAAGCTAAGTTATAAATAATGTATTTTAAATTGTTAAGATAGTAAAATAAGTTTAGGTTTAATAGAAAAATCTAAGTATTGCGTATTTTTCTATTTGTCAAACATTTCTGTATCCCCCCCCCCCCCCGCCTGTATCCCCCCCCCCCGAAATT